ATGTGAAAAGGTCTGTTCTGGGATTTGGAGTCCTTGTACAAGCAGGACTTGTTTTGGGATGTGGGGATCTGATGTAGTCCTGAGCAGTGTGGCATTTGGAGAGTAGGAATCGACCACATCTGCCCTGAGATTTGGGGGTCTTCATGGTGATAAAATCTGCTTCAAAATTTGGGGCCCTGCTATATGCAGGATTTGGTCTATAATTTGGGGTTCTGGTACAATTAAAGTTGGCTGAAAGATTTGGGTTACAAATACAAGAAAAGTTTGCTTTGAGCTTTGGGGTTCTCAGGGAGGCAGGGTTTGGTTTTAACCTTGACTTCCTTACATGGACATGGCTGGCTTCGACCTTGGAGTGCTGAGGTAGACAAAAGTTTCACATCTGGGGATTCATATATGGATCGGTTTGACTTGAGCTTTGGGATCCTGTTGTGGGCAGAGTTTGTTTCATTCTTTGGAGCCCTTATGAAGACATTTTGCATGGATTTGGGTTCTGGTATAGTCCTGGTGAGCTCGGTGACTGCCTTTCAGATGTAAGCAGAGTTGGCTTTGAATTTTGGGGTCCATATGTGGGCAGGGTTCATTTTGGGTTCTGTCATCCTTATGTAGACAGAAGTGGCTAATAGATTGGGGTCCAGATGCACAGGTTAGTTGAAGACTGGGGGTTCAGAATTGAGCAGTTGAGGGTCATGATGTGGGGAGAGTCTGCTCTGACATTTAGGGTTCTGTTACGGCCAGTCACAGCTTCAGGATTTGAGGCTTAAACATGAGCAGACTTTGCATATAGACATAGGGTCTTGAGGTGGGCAGGGTTTGTTTCAGACTTTAGCAACCTTGTGTGGACATGGTTGTGGAGGATTTGGGGTCCTAATAGTTACATGGTTAGTCTGGCAATTCAGGGTTTCAGATTTAGCCGGGTTTGTTCTTGGTTTTGGGGTCCTAACGTGGACAGAGTTTGTTTCCACTTTGACCTCTTTGCATGGACACAGTTGCTGGAGGGTTGGGGGTTCTGAGATAGTCATGGTTAGCCTGGAGATTTGGGGTTCAGTCTTGGGCAGGTTTGTTCTTGATTTTGGGGTCCTGAGATGGACAGGGTTTGTTTTGATTTGTCATCCCTGCAAGACCAAACTGGCTGGAAATTTTGGGGTTCTGAGGTAGTCATGGGTAGCCTGGAGATTTGGGGTTCAGTTGGGCGTGTTTGCTCTGGATTTTGGGGTCCTGAGGTGGTCAAGGTTTGTTCAAGCCTTGGCATCCTAGGGGGATGCAGTTGCTGGAGGATTTGGGGTTATGAGGTAGTCATGGTTAGCCTAGAGATTTGGGTTTTGGTGTTAGACAATTCTGTTCTGGGTTTTTGAGTCCTGAGGTCAGCAGGATTTGTTTCAGGTTTGGCATGCTTGCATGCACATGGTTGGCTAAAGGATATGGGATTCTGATGTTCTCAAGACCAGCATGGAGGAGGATTTGGGGTTTGCTCTGAGTTTGGGGTCCTGACATGGGCAGGCTTGTCCTGGGTTTGGGGGTCCTGCTGAGGACAGGCTTTGTTTCAGACAAGTCTTACATGAACAGAGTTGACTTTAGGACCCAGGTCTCTTATGAAGACATGGGGAGCCTGAGGGTCTGGCTTCCCGGGGGATCCTGGCATGGACAGGATTCACTCTGGGTTGGCAGATGCAGCCCATCCAGGTAGGACTTGCTTGTGGATTAGGGTCCTGCTGTGGACAAGGTTTGCCTTGATTGGGAGTCCAATGTGAACCTGTGTGTCTGAGATTGGGCAGTCCCTCTGTGGCCAGGACCCTAAGTGGCCCTCCATCTGGGTTTCAGGGTGGCTGGGGTTTGCTTTGACATCTGGGGGTCCTCACATAAGCAGACTTCCCTTTGGGAATCCAGCTTCAGAAGTGGACTGGGTTCCCTTGCATGTGGCCAGGGAAGGGGTCAGGGCAGGAGTCACCTTCGTCGAGGTACTGGAGCCGCTGGAGGTTGAAGGGGATGCCGACCATCAGGTCCAGCTCCTCTTTGAGCTCCCGCACGGTCATGTCGCCGCGGCAGTTTGCCACTCGGAACATCTCCCCTGTCTCCTCCAGGCGCACCCGGAGGACGAAGACATCAGGTGCCAAGTCGGGCGACACGCTCGTGGCCTTCGGGTCACCGACGAGCCGCTGGCTCCAGCCGCGAGCCCGGGCCGGGGGCTGCGCGGGGAGGGGCCGCGAGCCCGCCGAGCCCACCCTGGGCCCGCCGCGTCCCTGCACCCCAGCTCCCGCACCGCCCCTGCGTCCCGCATTGGGGTCCAGGAGAGGGGCGCCCCGCAGCGGCCCCGCCGCCCGCGCTCCGCCTGCCCCCGCCGCCGCCCGCTGCATGGCCCCGCCGCGGCCGCGCGTCATCCCCGGCTCGAGTGCTGCGGCCACGCGTCATCACCGCCCCCGCCCTGACGCCCCGCGAGCCCCCGGCTCCACTGTGACGTCCAGGCCCGGCCGAGGCCGCCCCCTCCAGACCCACGGCGAGGCCCCTCCCTGCCCGCCACCAGAGCCCCCAAGGGGACCGAAGGGCGGGCGTCGCCCAAGGGCCCCGCGGTCCTTTCCCGCTCCGGTGATGAACAAAGGCGGGGTTACATGTGGCCGCGGGAGACGGTTTTTAAATAATGGAACAGGTCACAGGTGCTCAAAACAACCGGGAGATTTATTGATAAATACAGAGACATCGCCGAGCGGCCAGGCTCCGATGACCTGCACTGGGCCCCTGGCCGGAGCTCAGGCCATGTCCCCACCTCCTTGCAGCCTCCAAGCTGCTGTTAATGTCAGTTCTTTTCACCAGGCAAACGGAAGGGGCATTCTTGCTGCTGTTAGGAAAAGGTTATCACTTCTCCGCGTCTGTTTAAAATACGATCTTTGCATAAATTGGGATGAGTTACCTGGAGGAATTACACGTGAACAAGTCTCTCAGTCCATTGCATGCATGGCCTACAGAGTTGTAAAGTGCAGACTTTCGTTATAAAAACACTTCTACCATGAACGAAAAAAAAACATTTCATAAACATGACTCCCTGAAGCAAATCTAGTCCCGACTTGAGAGTGGACCCCAGAAGTGGGAGGCAGCCTTTCATGGAAACTTGCAAAACTGCATCAAAATCTATCAATTTTGAAAATGCTCTTGAATTATTGATGGCAGAAAGATGCTGATAAACACTCTTAAGTGGGGAAAGGTCCACTCTAGAAAGGCTGGGATGGTTCTATTGTTAAGATACCTTTGGAGTCAGCTCTGCCTGGAAGAAACTCATCTGTGATTTTCCATTCATTCACCCGAGATGAGGCTGCGTGTTCAAGTAAACAGGAAGCTTACCTGTGGTGGTCAAATTACAAACACTCAACATGGTACCCATGAATAATAAGAAAACACAAGTGCTGAAGTGATGGGGGTGGCAGCTTTGAGGGCAGGAGGAAACAGAACAGTCTTGGAAAAATCTCAGTTGTTGCAAAAATGAGTAAAATGTAAGCTTAAAAATTATTTTTACAGAGAAATTACTGCCATGAAAAATATCCTTGCATTGGAAAGGAACTCATATTATAGAAAAATGTTAACATAGAAACTGAAATTGTAAAGGTTAGATTATTTACCAAAGAGTCTACAAGCTCTCCAAGCACGTTGTGATTCAGCATGCAAATTATACACATCACAACACAAACTGAAGCTCATTTTTTTCCTTAATGGAAAATTAAGCTCTGTATAGAATACAAGATTCCAGCTGAATAATTCTACTTGCTGCTAGATCCACGGATTTTTTTAAAAACACTCTCAATTTGTAGGCAATAAAAAAATTAAAAATTGCTACTTACCAAAGCAAAACAATATCTCCATTTACTTCAGGCAAATATTAAACACAAGACAAATTGACCATTTTTTAAAAAATACGTAGCTTCCAATTTATTAACTCACTTATTAACTCACTTTTAGACATTGCCTAAATGCTACCCTGGGGTACGATTTGTAAGTCTCACACATGAACCTTATTATTATTATTTTTACCATGGTGTATATACTCCTGTCTTTCTTTTAAAATAATTACTTAAGCCGGGCGCGGTGGCTCAAGCCTGTAATCCCAGCACTTTGGGAGGCCGAGGCGGGTGGATCACGAGGTCAAGATATCAAGACCATCCTGGTCAACAAGGTGAAACCCTGCCTCTACTAAAAATACAAAAAATTAGCTGGGCATGGTGGCGCGTGCCTGTAATCCCAGCTACTCGGGAGGCTGAGGCAGGAGAACGGCCTGAACCCAGGAGGCGGAGGTTGCGGTGAGCCGAGATCGCGCCATTGCACTCCAGCCTGGGTAACAAGAGCAAAACTCCGTCTCAAAAAAAAAATAATAATAATAATAATAATTACTTAAATAGAATTTGGAGGTGGGGGTAACACCCTGTATACTAGGAAATTCAATACATAGCTTCAAAAATTTCATTAAAAAATAAAGACAATACAAACAAGAAAAAGATCAAAGGAAGGAATAAAAATAGCTTACAAACCCCTAGCAGAGCTAGTGCTGAAACCCCAAATGGGCTGTTTCCTCCTTTCTTCCCTTATTCTACCTCTGAGAACATAAAAATAGAAACAAGAAAAACGACATGTGCATACATGTATGTGAAATTTGTTCAAATGGTTAGAAAATTTTAAACTATTAATTTTTAAAAACCTGGTGAAATTCTAGAGCATCTTTCTTAGTCAAAATTTTAAATGCATGAACTCTAAGAGTTGTGTACTTAAGTCAATTTGAAGAGTATTTCATTTGACCCCCAAAATCACAGGTGCATAGAACTTGTGGGCAGGTTCTGATCAGAACCAGGTTTTCCTTTTTTTGGTTAAGATTCTAAAGCATTAGATATAAAGTCAATATCCATGCATCTCGGTTATTAATTTTCCTCCCAGGTTCTTAAACATATAACATATCCATATAAAAATGAAAAAATCTGTTACCAATCTCCCTCCCAAGTTCTTAAACATATGATAGCATATCCATGTAAAAGTGAAAAATCTTTCAGCTTTATGCCTCTATCAAAGGCCAACACACATCTTTAGGGAAACAGTTCCTCTCAGGAGGGGAGGAGTACGTGTCTGAGGAAAAGTTCCAGCAGAGATTGTAACAAAGGCACAATATGAGAAAGACTGCCATCAATCATTCTTTAGATTTCTTTATCACATTTTTTGAAAGTAAACAAACTGAACTATATTTGTAGCAACTCAAAGTGGAGCATAGATTTAAATGATATATTTGTTCAGCTCACTGATGGGGGCAAATACTACATTAATATATTTTCTTCCTGTCAAGAGTTATTTATATAAGTACAGTAATTCATTTAAAAATAAAATATAATGCCATAAGCTATATTTTATAGGAAACCATTAGGGAAGGAAATATGCAGGTCTATAAAAGACTTAAGAGCTTCTAATACACTACTCGGCAAGGGTGGGGGGACTTCAGATCATACAGTCTGCCATGGAGAAAATAACGTGCCAGCAAGCAGCCTGATGGTTCAGAGGCTCCAGTGCCCAGTTAACCACCTGGTCTGAAGCCTTTCCACAGACTTACTGATCAGGATGGCTCAGCCATCCAGAAAAAGCCCTAATCAGCTTCAGTCCCCTTCGGGGTACAGATAGGAGAGGGGTCAATCATTCAGTCTTTGAGTGCACAGTATGAAAGGTTCCGAAATCTCCCCCAGCTGGTATAATATAATCAGTTCCCCTTCAAGTTATTATAAGCCATATGTGTCAAGCATGAAACAGCCAGACTGCGATTCATCATAGAGTAGTTAATTCTGTTTTTCTAGTACAGTAGTGTCTATGGTATTCCGCCGCTTTGGTTCTAGGGTTGCAAAAAAGGAAACATCTTGGTCCCGGTCTGACTGCAAAGCCAAGATGGTCTCTTCAACGACTTCAAGATGAGGGTTACCGGCATTTCTAAAATACGCTAAAGAGAGAAACCATGAGTCTGAATCATGTGTGCCATGAACTGTATTCAAAACACACTCTAATTTTGGTTTTTTGTTAGCCACATGTCAGGACAATAAATCGTTTTTAAGTGCTTTCAAATGACAAACTGCCTTAATCAAAGAATATTTCTAAAATGTTAAAGATGGACTCCTAACAGTTAGGCATATTTTAAAACTTATACTAACTATCTTTTTTTTTTCCTGCCAACACAAAAGAAATGGCAATGTGTGGAGCAGGAGTAGGCTGCAGGGAGGGGGGGGCAGGGGGTGAAGTGGCAAGAAATGTACGTGGGGGTCAGAGTTCAAGATATTTTTCTTATATGTGTGGTGTAGAAATAAACTATCCAAGAAACACAAAGCTTTTATTAAGTCCTGTTCAGGCGTAAATAACCAACTAGTTGGGTTACAAATGTTTTTTAACTGACCACAAAATAATACCATTAAAACATAATAGCAGTTAAGGCTTGCATTTGCTATCTTTCACAATCTTTCATGTCATAACTCAAAATTTTTAAGATTCCCTCATTTTTGGAAAGCTATGTAATATTTTGCATTTTAGCATATGTTTATTAAATGTGAAGACTGAATTACATTCATTTCCTTAGTCATTTTACAAGTAACATAAAATGATGCATAGAATTAACATATTCATTTACGAAATAAACCTTAAGTGTGGTGTCACACAACCTGCCTTAATTTCCTAGAGGAAATCTAGTTGTGGCCTTTAACAACTGATGGAGGTTGCCTGAAATGCATGAGTTCCGAAAAGTGCTCCACCTACCCTTTTCCAACAGCACCTGCCTTAGGGCCTTGGCTAGCAGAACCCTCACATTGGGCACAGGATCTGATGCGAGGCTCAGAAGGCTGGGAAGCAGGTGCTCCACGAACTGGTCCATGGGGATGCACTCCTTGCTCACCACTGCCTGCTCCAAGAAAGTCACAGCCAAAGAAGTGATGTTTTCCAGCAGTCTTCTAGAAACATACACTTCTTTAATCCCAAAGAAGTCATTTCAGAATCTGTAGGTTTGAGGCGTATGTGTGAATTTTTTAATCTCAAGCACTGCATTTGGTTAGAAACACAGTTAATATTTTGTTATAATTCACTACCAAGCACTGGGTTCCAAGTAGGTTAAGATCTGATGGGCTATGGAGTCAGAAAGGTCTAGGTTCAAAATCTAACTTGGTCTTAGTAGCTACGTGGCGTCAGGTTAAGTGGCTTAACATTTACGAGCCTCAGTTTCCTCATCTGTATGATGACTGGTCTGTTATGCAAGGCATCTAGGAGTATGCCACCACACTGCACACAGCTGACCAGTAAGGATCAAGAACCCTCACCTCTGTCACTCACGGTGGCTATGCTGTCAAATGACAGTCAAATCTCAAACCATAACCCAATGCCCAGACCTCTGTAAATAATCAGTAAACACAGTCCTGTGATAACCCTCAGCATGTGCACACAGCTTCTCCACTTACAAGACTTTACATGTATCCTCTCACTTAATTCCCAAGACTAACCTTGGAATTCAACAGCAGCCTGGTTTTACAGGTGAAAACAATTCATTTCCAATGTGGTGGTGACAGCCAAAGGTCTCATCACCACCAAGTGGCATCAGGGTGGGGACTGCAAGCCAAAGTGTGGATTCTAAGTCCTGTAGCTCTTCTAGTACAGGGTAATTTGTGTCGTGGTAAATAGGCACTGTGATGACCAGTGCCAGTGTTCCCCAGGTGCCAGGCACCACTCTAGGTAGCTTAGATCTGTCAGCCCACAGAAGCCCATAACAACACTAGAAAGCAGGCACATATTCCTGGCCCCCTTTAAGCAGTGCACATGGCACCCAATGTGTAGTCTTTTACCCCTCACCCCTCCCATCCTTCCCCCCGCCCCGAGTTGCAAGAGTCATTTCAGATTTTCTAATCTCAGAAAAATAATTTAAAAATAAAAGCAAAAAGTGTTTCCTTTAAGCTTTCTCTGCAAATTGACTTGGAACACTGACTTTTCCTTTACAGACGGCCGTGCTGTCAAGTCTGTGGTTTTGAGTTTGCTGTTCACTCCGCCATCCACTGACCTCAGAGCAGACTGCTATGGCACCCCTGTAATGTCCCACTGGCCCAACAGGGGGCGCTGATGAGTCATCTGGTGCCCGTGGTCATCAGGGACAAAAAGGAGGCTTTGGTCTGGGGTCAGATACGGTCCCAACCCAGCTTTATCGTACTATCAACAAAGCTGGGTGGCAGGTTCACAGTGATTCATTACACCATTCCCTCTACCTTTGTATATGCTTGAAAACATGCATAATAAAGTTAAAATGTTTAAAACAATACTTTAGCAGAAAAAAAAATTACAGGTTTACGCTTCCTGTGTGATCATGAACAAGTGACTTAACCTCTCTGGGCTTCAAATGTTTCACCTAAAAGAGATGGTCTAAAGGTAGACAGGTATGCTGTGCTCAATACACATTACTTTTTTTTTTTTTTGAGATAGAGTCCCGGGCTGGAATGGAGTGGTGCAATCTCAGCTCACTGCAAACTCCACCACCCGGGTTCAAGCGATTAGCGATTCTCCTGCCTCAGCCTCCCAAGTAGCTGGGATTAAAGGCACCCACCATAACACATTACCTTTTATTAGAGAATTAAATGTACGGTATGATGCCTGGCACACAAGAGGTATTCAAGAAATGGCAACCATTATCACTACCTTTGCCCCTAGGCAAACATAAATCACACCCTCATTTCCAAGAGGCTGAGTAGAGAGGGCGATCTGGGGAGCTGGACAGGATGATATGAACTCTATGTATTTACTCTAAAGAGGTTAACGTCTCTGCCCCAACCCCCTGCCCAATTCATCCCGCCGTCCTTCCAAGGCCACTGGCTAAGGTGAGGTGCAGTGGTGGACACCAACCTGGACAGGATGGGAGTGGACTGTGGGCCTGACCCTTACCTTGCTGGATGGAAGTGGGGAGAGCAGAGGTTTGTCCACTCTGTCTTTAGCATCTACAATCTATCTGGACCACGGCAGGTATTCAATCAGTATCTACGTGGTGAGTGAGTATGCCTGGGGTACTCATTCACCAGTGGGGAAGCCCTGGGGTAATCCTGGGCAAGTCCCTTCACCACACTGATTGGTCCCAATGTCCTACGAGATGAGAGGGCTCGGTAAGTAATTCCTCAGTTCCTGGCTAGTACTCCAGGGCTGAGATTCTCTGTCTGGTAAACTTGATTTCATAACATGGCAGAGTTATACCCAGAGTAGATCCCTGCTCGGGTCTTGCTAACCTGACAGATGAAAGCGAAAGCTTGCCTTCCAACCCACTTAGAACAGTGCCGGAACCTTATGATGAGTTCATGGATGAAATTTAACCCCAATGCACTTTCACTGTTGGAATAGAACTTCTGCAGAATTGCCACAACCTGTGAAAAATATCAGAAGAGCAAACTTAAAATGCTGCCATCTATTTGAATTATGAATGCTACTCTACATGGAAACTAGACATTTTTATGTACCTTTCCACCTTTAAAATGAATTTATAAGCACAGGAGAAAGTAATTTTTGTCAAGGTCATCATTAGAACACAGAGAAAAAAAGATGTTTAAATATATGGCAGTACATACACATACATAAAGCCCTTCATAGAAATGAAATTTAAAAGGAAACTGACATTAGAAAAATGTTATTAATCTAAAGGTTCCAAATTTTAGAGCATGTCCCCTCACTTAATAATAACTAAATCATTATCTTTCAGAACATGACATTTTTATAAAATTTTAATACCATCAGAGTATCTTAAAATCAGTATTTTCAAATGTGATTTTTTTCCCCAGTATCCAGCTGATAAAACACACAGAAAAAACAGAATCAGCTTTTCTATAGCAGAGTCATTGCTCACTAAATATTTTTCTACAAAACCACGCTGTAAATCAACCTGTATTTTAAAAAACACTAAGCTATTGCTTAAAGGGTTTCATATATAAAATAATTAATCCACAATTTCCCTCACTGAAACATATAACTTAACAAAAAAGCTATCCTACAAATTCATAAAATTATAATATAGTTCCTAATTTGAAAATTTAAAGTTAGTTTCATAGGTAAGCTGACAAATTAAGCCCAGAAAAAAAATTAAATAGTTAAAATGGAAGATACATAAACATTCTATTTGTAAAAATCACAGAGCAAATGCCCTGATTCCTTACTAGTTTGAAGGAGATCCACCGAACTTCAGAAACTTTATCTGCACACAACTTTAAGGCAATGTGCATTAAGTAATCATAAACATCATTAGGACTATAGAGTTCCAGAATCAGTATCAGCTGTCTGAAATTATTAAAAAAAAAAAAAAATTATTTTTGGGCAAAAAAAAAATGATTTCTTTTTACTGTCCTTTCATCTTATAGATAAAAATAGCCAGGCTGGGAAATAAACAGCAAGAGACCTAGCAAGACTTCAGTCTTCAGTAAAATGTATCTCACACACATACAAATCAAACAAAAAGGAAATAAAACTCCGCAAAACAGAGGCTGAGAAATTTACGAATACAGATTTAATATTTCAATTTTAGGTTATCAGTTGAAAAGCACATAAAACTTCAAAAATCAGATAACATAAAAATAGCCAGAAAGTTGAAGTACGCAGAGGTCAACAGATCAAGCGAGCACTGCGAGACTGCACGGCCGCTCCAGTGCTCCTACATCTGCAAACCGAACCGGATGCTCCTGCTCGCGGCTCGCGGCTCGCGGCTCTCGGCGGCACGAGGCGGTTTCACTGCAGCGAGGTCCGCTTGGAGAGAACTGGGAGCGTGTGCTCCTTACTCCAAAAGACAAAAGCATGCAGGAGACAGCTGGCTGCAAAAACCCACTACCAAAGCTTTCACTACTTTCTTAATGGGGATGGGGAGGAGGGCATGAAAATAAATGGCATTATTTTCACCCAGGCAACGAAAGGAAATGAAAAAGAGATGAGGAGAGAGTTAGAACCAGAAGCCAGGAGTGTTGGTAAATACTTTCATATCAAAAAGCACTGTTTACAAAAAAAAAAAAAAAAAAAAAAGATACCAATATCATGGGCACGGGAGCACAGAATTCATAACAGTCGCCGTGGCTTCAATAAGCCGGGAGATGGGAGATAGGGCGCGCGGGGGGAGATAACGCGGTCCAGAGCTGGCGCCGTGCTGCCTTCCGGAGCAGCCTCGCCCGGCACCGAGCGCGGCCACTTCCCGCGCACCGCCGCTAGAGGTCGCACTGCTTTCATGGAAAACATGGGCCTGTTTTTCTCGACTCAGAACAGGACTCTGGGAACACAGCACAATGATTGCACCCTCAATCTCTCAAATTAAGCAGAATGATTAAAGACCACAGCAAAGAGAAAGGCTTTCGGTTTGCCCCTGGCATCAGCCAAATCATATGCTGAATAGCTGCAAAAGCCTGATGAATTTCTCTGGGGAAGACAATTATTTGAGAGATTTCTAGTTGTAGATGAGAAAAACGAAAACTATAGACACCGAAATGAATTCTCAATTAAGGTGAAAACTAAATCCCAAATTCCCTCCACACCATGAAAGGCACATTATATACCTTAGGAAGGGGAGTTATTTAAGCTGATGCTTCCACCCCTTCATCATCACTAATGCCTGGAACATTCCTTTTGCCGGCACAAGACAGAATTAAATAACTCCTTCACGAACGAAATAATGTGCAGCTAGCAGGCACCTTGGGGGACCTTTTTATTTCGTAATCGTCTCATCTGGGTTAGACCCTTCCTGTCTCCCACGGTAGCTGAAGGGCATCAGGCAGGCTGCACCCTACGGAGAGGACCACGCTCAGAATGTTCAGGAAAGCTGGCAAAAACTGCTCCGATTAATAGAACAATATTGGAGAGTGGGTGATTCATCTTTTATTTGGTTCAAGTAAATTGCCTTCTAGAACAGCAGAACACTCTAATTCCAAAGTGACTCGAGCCCTGTCTTCATCTGAAAATGAATGTCTCCCCGGAGACTGTGGTATTTGTAACTTAGGGTTTTTGGAATTCTGTTTATACCTTAATAAAAACATAATCTCTTTATCTAAAAGAACACTATTACTGCTGCTTTAGAAATCAATTGTATGGTAAGAAAATTAAGATTTATTCCATCTAGTTTACTTTCTCATATCCCCAAATATGTTTTTACTTACTCTGCCAGTTCATATCGAAACCTCCAATTCCTGCTGTTATCAGTCACTACAAATTCTTGAAGCTGGTAAAGATAGTCTCTCCTCTTGTCTTCATGAAGCAACTATTTTTTAAAAATGTATACATAAACAAACATGTATAATCCTTCAAAATGACCCCAAATGCCTGCCTTTATTCTGCTTCGATTAGACATCTGTCACTGGCAAGAACTTTTGCATCTCCCCTGCACCTCGTAGTCTATTACCCAGCGTGGCTGTGAATGAACATTGCAGTGCACTGACATCAAATGCATCCCTGAGCGCCTCCAACCTTTTCCCCTGGCTAGGACATGTGCTTATTATGTATTTCTGAATGCCCCTGAGGTCTTCCTGCTTTTGTAATTTCCTAAAAACCAAAACAAACAAACAAAAACCCAGTCTGTGTGTGTTGGGAAGACAGCCTGCTGGTGCCGCCCCGGTGCCGGTGCCGCTTCCAGGGAGCGAGGCTGCTGCTGTGCCCCGGGGGGGAGAACCTCGGCCCAGCAGCACACACCAGTCTGCTAAGGGCAGCTCTCGGTCGTGTGGATGAGAGTAATTAGTTTCTCTAGGTCATTTTTAAACTCCTATTTTTACATTCATCATTCCTTTGCAGGGGGATGGGGGGGAGCCAGAAGGGAAGGAGCAGCAACTTGCAGAAAAAGTGCTTCGTGAAGAACAGAGTTGGACTTCAGCCCAGGCTCTACCCCTGGGTGACTTCTGAGCAAGTCAGGTCACTACCCAGGGGTCTTGGTTTCTTCTTTTGTAAAGAGTATGCCAGGCTATGTGTCTACCATCTTCCACAAGGACAGGAAAATTAGGAGAAAAAAATTAAAAATACTTACCCATCACTGAAAGAACACCCACTTTCAGATTCTGGGTGGTACATTTCAGCTAAAGAAAAAGCTAAACAACCACATTGTTTTTTTCACTGACACAATACACATCCAGGGCTTCCCACATCTGCTTGGGAAAGGGGAGGCTTGTTTTTTGCTTTTAACCCTTCTTCCTACCTTTAGAAAATCATACAGGTGTTTAAGAACTCCTATGCGCACTTCATCCAGATCCTTTAAAAATCCATTGAAGATGGGCACCAGGTCAGCTGCTGTTAACTGATCCCCAAGAATCACAGCCAGCTCGTGAATGGAGAAGGCTAGGGTTCGCCGCACCTTCCACTAGGGGTGCACAGCAGACACACGAATCACGACAAGCCAGTGCAATTCAACCTCTTCCACATCTTATGTGGCATTTTTGGAGCAAAATGAATACTACCAGGTGTTAGCCACTTAAAGCTTTATTTCATCACAGACCAGTAAATATGCCAATTTAGTATCCACATAAAATTCATGTCAATGAGCCTGGCTGCAGCTTCCCTCTTCTCCCTAATGAGGTGACCCACCTCCTTCTGTACGTGCCTCTGAAAAGGCTTTACCTGTACATCAGAAGCCAGTGTTTCATATGTATCTTTCAGGCAATGCCAATTCTGCCTGCCCAGGGTCAGCGCCACCCCTGGGAGGCTGTAGGCACAGTGTGTGGCGATGTCAGTATCGACAGTCTGGGCTCGAGCTGGGTCAGTCATGGACACATACTGATCTAGCAGCGGCTGAGGTATTATATCCTGCGAAATGACAGAGAAAGGAGGCCATCATGCGTGCAGAAAAATACTCATGAAAAACAAGGAGTTTGGAATTGAGAGGTGGAAACAATAAAGCAGAAATGTGAGAGGAACAGGAGGCCTTCCTAAAGCCAAAGGGCTTCGGATTGCCAGCATTTTCTCCAGGCAGTGGGTTTTCAATTTTGATTGAAGTGAAAGCAACACCCAGAACTCATCTTTTTCAGATTGGCACAATATTTGATATCATGGAGAACAGTCTAGACAGCAACGTCTGCTTAGGCTGGTACAGCCAGCTTTTGAGAATGGAGCCTTGCTTCTCTTTTCTTACAACTGCCCTGAGAACCTAGCACCTGAGACCTTATACTCTGATAATCATGCCCATGTTTTACCAACTGATGGAATACGGCCACCATGTGACATCCCCCCATTTATGTTTATCTCAGTGACAGCAATGGGTCCCAGTGATTTCAAACATTCAAGGAAACTTACAGTGGCACAAGAAGCCAACCCACAAGACAGAACTCAATCAAACAGTCCAAGAAAAGAAGCTGCCAAAAACTTTTCAAACAAAAAGAACAACAGCTTCAATAAACAGATACTGATTATCATTGTTAGATGTCCTATTTTTTCTCCTATTAGTTTATTTTATTAAAAACACTATTATAGGTTGTTCAGAAGACTTAAACAGTACAATTAATTTTTTTAAGTTAGAAAGAAAATATAAGCAAAATGAAATATGAGCTAAAATATGTAATCAACATTGATGGAAGAAAAAATATTTGGTTCCAACAGCCATTCTTAAAGTTAAGTTTCAGAAAATATACAGTTTCAGTTGCTTTTTTTTTTTCCCCCCCCCAGGAAAAAAACCGGTATTTTTGATTTATTCTCTTCAAGTGGGGTGGGATCCTGCCTCTGGTCCATATCCAGATGGTCACTGGTTCCATTTCTGTGTTCACCTGCATCCTGCAGAGGTGATTGGACATGTTAACCAATTTGCTCCAAAGGAATCAGCTGTCCTGTCACTTCCCCTTCAGAGTCCTTTTTCAATGCCAGAAATTACTTCTGTAAGCCAAGGCAAGAGCTTTCCTTGAAGTCAATGGTATCTTTTCAGATGTTAAAAACTACATTTGCACAGTTACATAAGATATTATATAAATCAGTTCTTGCAAGTATTAAGGAAAATTGATTTAATACATTTTAATTTCAAGACTGCTGCAGGTCCTTACAGAAAGACAAAGGCCAAAGTGAAAGCAGTGAGGAGCAACCCTGTGAGTTTGCATCCACTATTCCTTATGCCTAGCGACTCCCTGGTATGGCCAACCAACACCTTTAAGTAATATTCACATGTTTAAGGAAGGAAGGGTGAGGTCTGCAAGAAATGGTAGAGCCAGCACCTCCGGCATTTTTGGGAATCAGGGATTGCAGCAATGGTCGGCCTCTGAGAGAGGATGGGGGCTGGGGAACCCAATGAAAGTGACAGAACAGATGTGGCTGATACAGGAGTATTTACTCAGAAAATGGTCCTAGATTTTTCACATGTACAAACACTCCTAATGTTTGCTAATGAACCTTTACATTAGGTTAACAATTAAAATGAACAAGAACATTCAATGGTGACATACTGGTCTCTGATCATTGATTAACACTAACTGGGATGGACCTGACCTTCTCCTTCAACCATACATGGATTTCCTTGAAATGTCATACTGTCTACCAGCTTAATGGATTCTGACAAATCAGCTCAATATATGATCCTGAAAAGTCGATTAATACACCAATAAATGCGTCGTTTGCTCTGAGGCACACCACCAGAACCTTCAATTCCCAAGGTTTTCACCAATAGGTACTGTTTATTTTAACAGAGGACATGATAAAACAAATATTTTGGTGTCATAACCTAAGACCTCAATTTCTCCAAGTTAATAAATTCACATATAGTAACAAGATGTGTCATTGGAATCACTATTATCCCTTTAGAAATTAATTTTATTCCAAAGTCTTCAGTGCAATCATGCGTGCAGCACTTACTCCAGGAGCCAAATCAAGGCTTAAGCAAAGCACCACAAGTCATGGCACCCCTAAAACGTATTGTGAGTTCATTTCCCCAAAAAAGCCCCAGAGGGACACCAAGGGTGTGGAGTCCACCAGCCCAGAAGCCTCCCAACCACAGCGTTTCTCCCTGTTGTCTTGTGCAAGTGAGTATCTTCCTCATGGTTCTTGGAGTTTTTTGTTTCTTTGCCTTCTTTTGCAACAGGAAGCATCCTAACTAATCCCACTAAGACCCTGGAGTCAAGCTGCAAATTCAAGGGCTCTGCCCTCCCACACCATAAAACAAAGGCCCCATGACACAAACCCTTTCAAAGCCTCAACTCAAAAGACTCAACCAGACCCAACAGGGAGGAATCTGTTCTCTCTCTTTTTTTTTTTTTTTACCTCTGTCTATGATAAAGAAGTCAGTATCACATCCCCACCAAGGTAAATGTGGTCACGCCCTTCTACTTAACACTTGCATTTTTGCACTCTAGGTAACGAGGTTGACAACAATGAGTTTTCTTACTAATGTTTTAGCAACAAACCAGCAGGAGAGGATATCATCTCATTTCTTACTAATCACAGATAATCTTAACCAACTCTTACACATTTTATGTTTGAGTTTTAAAACGCTTTATTTTGCTTTATTAGAGCAGGCCTAAGGGGTGAAGGAGGTAATAAGTTAAATCACTGAAATCAAATTATAAACTGTATGAATAGAGAAACAATTGGTGTTGGGGCCCTGGAGACCATGAATTTGAAGAGATTATTCATCATAGCACATGATAAGGGCAGGGTGCTATCCCAATGACTTTATGGCGACAGCCCCCTCCCTCATTTTAATCCTCTATTCTGAATCCTAACTGTGGAAGACCCCAACTTAAACTGGTCCAAGTGGAAGCTTAGTAGAAACTAGAATGGCTCAGGAGCCTCCAGCTACAAGAGGGCTCCCCCAAACTTCTGGAGAAACCTGAAATAAATAAACCGTGGGCCCCTCCTCACTCCAGCTTTGGGGCCCTGGTCTCACAAGGAGCTGGTTCCACCCACAGGAGTAAGGGGGGTCACTGGTGTTTTTTCAAAATCTCTCCTCTGAGAAACAGTGTGACAGGACCAGCACTGGAGCACCCACGTATGCCAGAGCTCCTAGCAAACGGGGCTGGTGTGACGGCCACTCTCGGAGGCCTCATCCCCTTGAAATTCCAGGAACTGCCTGAATTCACCCTCCACTATTATTAAAACATGTCATTGTATGTTAGCAGTGACACAGAGCATTTACGTGGTTAATCTCCCCAAAGAACAAGTTCTTGTCATCTCTGGAGAAGAGGGAAGGTACTTTCTGGTGCCCACCCCATTTTCGTGGGAGCACATCAGCACTATCAATCACCTGATTGATTGGTTGTCTAGTTATCCAAAACATGACCTTAAGAATAAAGTGAAATTTGCCATTTATCATCTCTGCTGGGATATATTAATAAAAGAAAATGCAGCTTTGTGATTTCTGTCACATCGTTGGTGGCTGAGGGATAGGGCAAACACTTACTGTGCTTTGTAATATCCTGGCCACGGAGAGCTCATTGTGAGATGATGAAGCCGACAGAGTGATCTGATTGTCAGAGGCAGAGCTGGAATCTGAAATGGACACTTCATTTAGACCTGCTGTCGGCTTGCTCTCGGGTTCATTCACGGAATCAAGCTGTGCAGCTCTCAGTGCAGCGGATAATACCTGAACCTGAGCTGTAGGAAGAGAAATTTCAAGAATTTTAACAACTTTATTTGGTTTGTGGGAATTTACTTCAGAGAAGTCTTGAAAACAACATAATCTGCACTAAGCTACACGGTATGGGTACGCTACGCTGACACAGATCTGTTCTGGAGCGACGGCGCTCTGGAGCCTCAAGACAAGCTCTCAGCAAGGTGGTGATATTTCCGGCCGTTAATAATAACTATCTCAACTAAATGCCAGCCATGTACAGAACATCAAACCTGAACTTGAAAAGTCTCACTTAGGAAAACTCCAAGTTTGACTCCACCATGTTTCACAGAAAGAAAGCATGATGTCACTGAACAAGGATGACTGGGAGGTCCACCCACTCAGTGAAGGGTATCCTGCTCCCCGATTTATAAAGCAAGACGGCTACTTTCTCACATACACACACACACACATGCATGAAGACATCCATTTACACACAGATGAGTAATGTTCTCACTCAGCCCCAAAGGCTGCCCATTCTTTCTGTCCAGAGTATGACTGTTTGAGATTCTCTGAACAATAAAGATAACATATTTCACATACCTTTCTGTAAAAATAAACTGGATGTTTTAATGTCCCCAACCTCCCAAAAGACACACACACACACACACACACACACACACACACACACACACACATTACTTCCTGCATCCAGCTTCTAATAGTTCAATTTGGTGGACTCCAAGATTCATCAAAACAGTGAGAGCTTGTAGCTGGCTCTGCGCTGTGCCCAGGACAGGTCCCACCTCGCCAGTGCCACACACCAGGCCCTTCCCAATGGCCTGAGTGACATCTCCTGCCTGCCATAGCCACTTCACAAATAAAATGCATCACTTATTTCTGAATCTTCTGGGATCATGGATCCCTCTGAGCTCTGAAGAAAGCTACAGGCCTTTTCTTACAAAGAAATTAAGTATGCACATACATTCAAGATTTTACAAATACTGAGTTCAGGGAACTGAACGAACCGTCTGAAACTCATCCCCTGACTTCTCTGAATGGTGGGCTCTCAGCCAATCTCTAAAGCCCAGGCCAAATGTCACCAGCTACGTGGGGGTCTCTCCCAGACATTTCCTCTGCACGTCGCATCCCCTCCATCCCCAGCCCTCGCCATGCCCTACCAGGTGGCCGCCTACACAATCCCCTTAACCAGCTCACAAAGGCCTCAGGGGCCAGTCATCACTGCCCAGCCCCCAACCCAGGTCTTAGCACTGGGGATTAAGGCAGCTTCAGCACTGTTTTCCAAAAACAGACCTTTGTTTATGGCTATTAGAAGTGGTATGTTACGTGTGCCCATTCCTTCAGTAAACATTGATTTAATTTCCTTCATAAATTTAAGGACAAAGAATAATCACAGGGCTAACGGAATTTTCACATTTCCCTTCCCGAAAGCTTCACAAATCTTTGCCCAGCAACAGCAGCAAGTGTTGTTTTTTTTCCAATTTCTCCAACTCAAGGAAGAATACAAATATAGCACTGTTCAGAGAAAGAAGACTCCCGATAATGGATATGGATTGCAAGGTCTGGCTCCCTGATCAGATGCTCAGTGGAAGCACTAGTCATCAAATGAAAAATACCCCAAAGAAGTAGTTGTACTTTTCTTTCCTGTACAAAGACACGAACCCTAAAGTTTAGCTAAGGACTGCGTTAATAGGCTCCAAAAGGAGCGCCATCCTTGGTTGTTCATAACTAGAAAGGGCATCCTATGTGGGAGATGATGTAACAGTGTGTCCAAGGAGCTAATAAAATTTCTCCTGCTACAGAGATGCCCACGAACTATCCACTTTTCTATTAGAACTGACTGCAGACTGTGTGCACATCCACCTGCAAAATTAGGAAGCAAAATCCTTGCATAGGTACCTGCACAGAGGTACTGCTGACATTTCGAGCTGTGCTGAGACTAAGCAAGTCTCTCCCCTCAATGCACGCACAGTATAAATGAACATAGGTGCACATGCCCATGCGTCAGCACACAGGGCAGGAGAAGAAGGAAGTGGCAAAATGCAACACACAGCACAGAAACATCCCATCTTCTCTTCAGCAACAATCAACAACATTTACCTTGAACATCTGGATCATTCAGCATATGCTCCTGCAAACTCTCAAGGACTTTCTGGATCTCACTCCGGGCTACACAGCTGTTGTGCACAGTCTTGGGTCTGCTGCAGTCATCCTCTTGAGGCTCAGCCTCACTCAGAAACAGCTCTAAGTCCTTGCTTATGTCAGGGAGAGGAGTTCGCCAATAAAGAAAATCATTGAACAAATCCTCAGCATTCCCTGGGCAGGCCCAGGAATCTGATCCAGGGTGGCTGCTGATGGGGAGGTCATTAATATCAGAAAGCTTTGAAAAGGCGCTGGCCTCTGGGGAAAGCCTGGTCAACTCAGCCCCAGCCAACACTGAGCTTTCCACGGGGTTTTCCGTTAGGCCATCAGAGCTACTGATAGGAGAGAAGTTACTGGTTTTCGCTGAGGTACCTTCCTCAGGTAGCTCTGGCTCCATCTGCACAGGCTTTGTTGAACTAGTTAAACCGAGAGAAGCAAGCTTTTAGCACTGTGTAATACACTGAAAGTCACAGGGAAACACATGAGATCCGCGTCCTCACCTAGCCCTCCACCTCCTGGCTGACCACTTGCCCCTCTTCGTGTCTCCTGATGTCAGCAGACTAAAATCTCACGAGGACAGGAGGTTTAGTCAACCCCCACTGCCCTGCTGGGAGTATGAAGGGCACTGCAAACACCACCTGAAAGTTCAGCCAGTGCCTCCACTTTCATCCCAGGGCTGAAGCAGCCCCAACTTCTGCTGAAGCACCTTTGGCAGATTTCATCCATTTCCTGCTGGTGAGTACCTCCACCAGGGGGCAGGCATTAGAAAATTAAAGGCGCTGAAATGGATAAGAGCTGGCTATTTGTTAACCACTTTGAGGTCTTGAGGAAGACACTGCCCATGGCCTGCCATACAGCAGGAGCTCAATGAACTCCGATGGAAGAGGGATGGGGGGAGAATGGGCCAGCCTTGGAAGGATCTGTATTCTGTGAGGCATCAGTTACCCACTCTTATACTCCTGCATACTAGCAACAATGGAGAGGTGTTTACAAATGACCTCAAATAGGATGGTTAGTGTATACCCATCAGCCTCAAAGGAAAGACAAGAAAAGCCCAGGTCAACAGCGATACTAGACAAACACTGGAGGGTCTACCAATATTGGTCAGGAGTGTCACCTTTATGTACATACAACCCATCTATCCAAAAAAGTACATTTGGGAGGCTTCACATTTTTCCCTATGTAAATTGCCCAGAGAACTTCATTAATTAAAAAGTAAAAGAAAATTTTCTTTATAGGTTATTTAATCACTAATCTCAATGAATATTTTATCTAAATTTAGGAGACACAGAAGCTTCATTATTTATAACCCAGTAGTCATGTTTCAAAATCATTATTGCAATTACTTTTTGCTTCTTTACATAATTAAAGCCCTAATATTCCATCTTGCCCAGAAGGTCACTTTTACTAAAACTCAAGACAAGATAGATAATTGCTGAAATTTTAGGTGGGTGCTTAAGGTACACTGAGGGCCCCAGTGGTCACCTAGCCACAGCATACCTGGCAGAGGAAGTGTTACCACCACTTCTGGGAGTGGGTGAGCCAGAGGCAAAACCAGAGTCCACATCCTGGGTGAGTGGCCAGATGCTCAGGGTGCCATCCTCTCCAAGATAAAGGCCAGCCCTGGAGGGGTTTGCAAAGGTGGAAATGAAGGGGCCGAGGGACTGGAAGGCAGCCTGGCGCACCTGGAACCAGAGAGAACAGCGCGGTGAACGAACACAGCATCAGCCAGCAGTGGTGGCCAGGCCTGATCCCAGGCTGAAACAGATGGCTGGACACCACACAAGCTACTCTCTACCACAGTACATCTATGGAGATTTACTGCTGTCTAAATCACTCCCTAAATTCCAAATAAACCATTATTCAACAGAAAGTAAGGAAAAATTTAGCCCCATTATACTGCTTTCATTCTTCCAGAATATTAATTTTATATGAATAATACATAAAGTATTTGAACAGACCTTATTAATCATTACAGACATGTTTATGATAGCAACAGAAAACGTAACAGTTCAGTTACATAGTTTTCTCTTTCTCAATTAAGATTTTCGTGACATTCATTCACTACATTATGGTGTACATCATCATCTTAATTCACCCCAAAGCTTTTGAGATTTTAGTTTCCCTTCACCTCACAAGGTCTAAATCTGATTATACCAATCAGTTAACTGAAGGGACAAAATACAAAGTTACGAGTGCAGAAGTGAATCCCAGCCCGGAAGCCAGACGGAGGTGGACAGTTGGTCAACAGATGCCAGTGTCTGGACAGTGCTGCAGGCACTCACCCATCGGCAAGGGTCGCTGACAAGTCTGATGAAGAGCGGGGAGAGCTGGGTTCTGCGGACCTCAGGGGAGGAGCTGTGCGACACAGCCGTGAAGCATTCCGCGCAGGCTTTCCGCATGCCCCACACAGCATCTGAGCAGAGCTCAAAGAACTTTGGGATCTGCCAAAACAAGCAAAAGAGTGCTACTCCAATTGGAGGTCCTGAGGAAGGGCAGAACCTGTTTTGTAAATTTTTTTTTTTTATTTTACTTATTTATTTATTTATTTTTGTGAGACAGAATCTTGCTCTGTCGCCCGGGTTGGAGTGCAGTGGTGTGACCTCGGCTCACTGCAACCTCGGCCTCCCAGGTTCAAGCAATTCTCCTGCCTCAGCCTCCCAAGTAGCTGGGATTACAGGCACGTGCCACCACACCCGGCTAATTTTTTTGTACATTTGGTAGAGATGGGATTTCGCCACGTTGGCCAGGCTGGTCTCGAACTCTTGGCCTCAAGTGATCTGCCTGCCTCCGCATCCCAAAGTGCTGGAACCTGTTTTAATGAAGTCATGAAGGCATATCCAGAAATTAATGAGAAAGAAAAGGGAACTATATACTGGTCTAAAAGGATCCTCTGAAACAAACAGAAATGATGAAAAGTGGAAGAAATAAACATTTCCTTTACCTCCTAATTTTAGTAACTGACTTGGGGTTACCTTTAACAGATAATAGAGAAAACCCCAGAAAAGGAAGAATGATTGGTATTTGTTATGAAAATTGTAAAGAAGATTGTGAAAGACTCTGAAACACTGGATGTTCCAACTAGCTCGCCCATTCAGGTATCACTGTCTTTGACTAGGCTCTTTTACAACCCTGAAGTGATAGAAGTTGATAAAACCTGATAGTAATGCAAATAATTCCTGCCAACAGAAATGCAAATTGTGTCCAGTGAAATGCAATCAATTATCAACCTGGATACTGACCAATTTTGAATTCATTTGTAAGTTCACTTCAGTATTCCTTGGTCTGACTATAAATGTGTAGTCCTTTGAGTTCTCCATGAAACTGGCTGTAATATCTTACTGGTTTTCCTTATTAATAAATGACTTAAATAAAATCTTTGAAACATGATCATGTCATATCTCTATAAAGGTCATGATTACATCCCCTTTAAAATTTATCCTTTAAAAAGACTTTGTCTTTAATATCCTAATGTAAAATAATTAGCCTACAGTGCTTCGCAAATGGAAGTTTGATATAATCATGGCAATACCTACCTACAAATGATTAGCATATTACTCACTGCCATTCTTCATTCAGATATATTAAGTAGAAGTTAACATTCACTGTATATTCAAAGCAACAGCCCATTAAAAATTTTCTTGGGTTAGAACTGCGTTGGCATGGCTTATGCTTAGAATAAAATAAAATGAGCTTCTGAAGTTAAATTTAAAAATCAATTTAAAGATTAAACTTTTTGAGGTCAAAATCTCACCCATACGATAAGTATATTCTGTCAAATAAAAGAGGCAAATGCTTACTGAGCACGGTTCCCTAGGTGCCAGGTACTGACAGAGTAGGCATGGAGGAAACAAGGATGAACACAATGAGGTCCCTGTCCTTAAGAAGCTCCTCATCACAAAAGTATTATCAGCTCCTCTGAACAAATGCTACTAGGATACTGAGAAGGGAAAAGCTGACTCTCTGGCACTGCAGGGAGGTGAGCCTAGACAAGGAAAGAACTTCACAGAGGCAATTCAAGCTGGGTCGGAAGTGTGAGGAAGGTGCCATCAGGTAGGGAAGATGTTCTTAGTGAGCAGAGGCCCAGACGTATGAAAGAGCAGGAAGCCTCAAGGATGCTGAAGACACCTGGCTGCCTGGGAAGTGGATCTCTCCCCTGCTGTGCATCAGAATCGTATTGAACTTTATCAAAAAGGCAGAGGCCTGGGCCTTCCCCGGGCTTCAGATATATGGCCAGAGGTGAGACCCCACCCCCAAGGCCAGGGGAGTGTTCACAATTGAGAAAGAGGACTGGAGGCAAGGCAGAAAAGGCACCTACAGAGTTACCTGGAAGGCCCAGAAGGCTCTAGATTTTAACCTGTAAACCAAGTAAAAAATCCCAACAGTTTTGAGGCCCAGTTGTGAAGTGGCAAAGTAGTCTTCCAGAAAGAGCAGCAGAGAGAGAACAGAGAGAGCAGCCTGCACAGTGAGAAGAAACCAGGGAAAAATGACCTCTAAGGAGGTGACAGGAAAGAAGCCCACAGGCAAGAAGACGGGGGTTGCTTCCAGACCATGCCACAGACCAGCTACCTAATGCTTAGGAAAATGTTGGCTTTAGAAGTCAAGAAATCTGAAATTAACAAATGCAAAATTAAGCTGCCGTTCCATAGTAACAGACTCATAAGTATAAAACTTAAGCAATTTTGAAAGTGCATTAAGAAGCAAATCAATAATTACATTTGGCCAAAATGTCACGTACCAAAAATTTCTCAGTGGCTTCTTGTCCAACAGCACGACAAATATCACCAAAATTTGCAGCGCAAACCTTAAAAGGGCAAAAGGCATATCCATTATTCTCATCTTTCTTTTTGTCTTAACAAATTGTAAAAACCTAACAAGCAGGAAACTTGAGAGCAATTATCCCTCCAGTCAGGCAGCTAACAAGCCCTTACCAAGCCCATCGCCCACACAGCACCATGCTAAGTGCCTCCACAGCATCAAAAACAGATTTACAATAAGGTGCCAAATTCTAGGATTTTCTGGCTCCTAATTTATCTTGATACAGAATGCATTTGGTTAGCAATAAGGCAAAAGAGGCCTTTTACATTCTCTGCATGGTAAAGGAGACCTGTTGTCTTGCCTGTGTATCAGCAACAGAGACCGGAGGGGTGATGGCCAGTTACACGAAAGGTGGAGGAGGAGGCTGTTTAGGGAGGGGTGGTAACAGACTTCAAAAGGAAGAATTTGGGCCGGGCGCGGTGGCTCACGCCTGTAATCCCAGCACTTTGGGAGGCAGAGGCGGGTGGATCACGAGGTCAAGAGCTCGAGACCATCCTGGTCAACATGGTGAAACCCCGTCTCTACTAAAAATACAAAAATTAGCTGGGCATGGTGGCGCGTGCCTGTAATCCCAGCTACTCAGGAGGCTGAGGCAGGGGAATTGCCTGAACCCAGGAGGCGGAGGTTGCGGTGAGCCGAGATCGCGCCATTGCACTCCAGCCTGGGTAACAAGAGCGAAACTCCGTCTCAAAAAAAAAAAAAAAAGGAAGAATTTGACAACCAAGTGAAAAGTGACTAAAAGGGAATTTGGGGTTGGAAGGTACAGTAAAGATAAGAGGGTTCTGGATCAAATCACGACAGATAATCAAAGACCCTGCAGGCCTGGGCATCTAACCTTATCCAGCAAGATCCCCTAACTCTCACCCTGTGCCTGGGAGCAGCAGGTTTACTCACACAGACGCCTATCACCTGATCTCCATGCACCTCATAATTGCAGTAAAACCCGACGACACTGCTCAGCTATTTTCCTTACACAGTTCACATTGACCACACTTCTCCCTCAGACTCTGTCTACTGAAGAAGTCCAAAAACTTCAGAGAAATCAAGTTTGAATTTTTTAACTTTAGGAGTTTTGGAATTCTTACATTCCTACCTTCCGAACTTGAAAGAGCTTCCCGTCACCACACAGTTCACAGAATCGAGGAAGTAGCAGGCGTTCAACTGTACTCTTACTCAGCATGGAAGCCATTTTGCAGATTATCTATAAATAACAAAAGAAAAGTTCAAATCATTTAAAATACCAAAACATGTAAGTCACACATAGCACTAAGGATAGATTCCAAAAGCCAGTATTCAAAATATTCCCAAAATACCTAAGAAGGAAAAATAAAAAACACACCTACTTTTGAGTTTCGTCAGGTTATAAGATCAACAGCAGGCCCAACATTGCTACAGCTTGACTTGGATAAGGATTTGTCTGAAGCTCAAGAGTGACCATCTGCCAGGTCCCCACCTTGTGCCCAATACACAAACATGCCAACTTTATGTGCACTGACTCGTTTTATCTTCCCAAGAATCCTATGACGTGGGTACTATTTATCCTCATGTTCCCAGAGGAGGAAATGCTGCAAGAGGTTAAACAACATGACTAAACACAAACAGTGGGGAGGTGCGCCATCCAGTGCCAGCAGGACATGGTAAGCACTGGAAAATGATCAAATTCTGGAGAAACTAAAGAACAGACCCTTACAAGAAAAAGAAATTGATTAAATTTTGCATTTGTGCTGCTTTTTGTCTGAGAGTACTTCCCATTCTACATGGCTATGAAGGGTAGCTGGACGTCAAGCAAAAGCTACAAGTAGAAGTCCTAACCACAGCAATCAGGCAAGAGAAAGAAAAGACGGCATCCCAACCAGAAAAAAGGAAGTCAAACTATCTCAGTTTGCTGACAATATGATCTCATACCTAGAAAACCCTAATGACTCCTCCAAAAGACTCCTAGGTTTGATAAGTGAGTTCAGTGAAGTCTTGGGTCACAAAACCAATGTACACAAATCAGTAGCACTGCTTTATACCAACAATGAGCAAGGCAAGAATCAAATCAAAAACTCAATAGCTACAAAAAATAAAAATAAAATACTTAAGGAGGTAAAAGATCTCTACAAAGAGAATTACAAAACACTGCTCAAAGAAATCACAGATGACACAAACAAATGTAAATACATCCCATGTTCATGGATTAGAGAATCAGTATCATAAAAAGGACCACATTGCCCAAAGTAATCTACAGCTTTAACACAATTCTTATTGAAATACCAATTCATTCTTCATAGAATTAGAAAAAAAAATCCTAAAATTCATATGGAACCAAAAGAGTCAGAATAGCCAAAGCAATACTAAGCTAAGAGAACAAATCTGGAGGCATCACAGTACCCAACTTCAAATTACAGTACAAGGCTATAGTAACTAAAACAGCATGGTAATAGTATCAAAGCAGAACAATGCAATGGGATGGAGAATCTAGAAATAAAGCCAAATACTTAAAAACAACTGATCTTTGACAATGCCTACAAAAACATATACTGGGGAAAGGATACCCTATTCAATAAATGGTGCTAGGAAAACTGGCTAGCTACATGGAGAAGAATGAACTGGATCCTTATCTCTCACTTTATACAAAAATCAACTCAAGATTTTTAATCTAAGACCTGAAACCATAAACAATTTTAGAACAAAATCTAAGAAAAACTCTTCTGGATACTAGTGTAGACAAAGAATTTATGACTAAGACCCCAAAAGCAAATGCAACAAAAACAAATATAAATAAATGGGACCTACTGAAACTAAAAAGCTTCCGCACAGCAAAAGAAATAATCATCAGAGTAAACAGACAACCCACAGAATGGGAGAAAATATTTGCAAAGTATGCATCCAACAAAGAACTGATATCCAGAATCTACAAGGAACTCAAACAAATCAGAAGGGAAAAAAAAAACAAATAATTACACTAAAAAGTGGGTCAATGACATGAATAGACATTTCTCAAAAGAAGATATACAAATGGCCAAGAAGCATATAAAAAAAAAATTCAACATCACTAATTATCAAACAAATGCAAGCTAAAACCACAATGATATATCATGTTACCCTAGCCAGAATGGTCATTATTAAAAAGTCAAAAAACAATAGATGTTGGCATGAATGTGGTGAAAAGGGAATGCTTATATACTACTGGTGGGAATGTAAATTAGTACAATTTCTATGAGAAACATTATGGAGATTTCTCAAATAACTAAAAGTAGGTCTACCATTTGATCCAGCAATCCCACTACTGGGTATCTACCCAAAGGAAAAGAAATCATTATATCAAAAAGACACCTGTATGGATGGATATGTTTATTATAACACAATTCACAATTGCAAAGATATGGAATCAACCTAAGTGCCCATCAACTGATGAAAAGACAAAGAAAATGTGGTAGTCTGGGCAACACAGTGAGATGTGTCTCTACAAAAAGTAAACAAAACTAGCTGGGTGTAGTGGTACATGCCTGAAGTCCCAGCTAGCTACCTGGGAGGCTGAGGTGGAAGGATCACTTGATCCCAGGAGGTCGAGGCCGCAGTGAACCAAAACTGCACCACTACACTCCAGCCTGGGCAACAGAGCAAGATGCTATCTCAAAATAAAGAAAAAATATATATACATATATTTTTATATGGTATATATATTCCATGGAATACTACTCAGCCATAAAAAGGAACAAAATAATGTCTTTTGCAGTAACTTGGATGATACTGCAGGCCATTATTCTCAGAAAAGTAACTCAGGAATTGAAAATCAAATGCCCCATAGTCTCACTTATAAGTGGAAGGTAAGCTATGGGTATGCAAAGGCAAACACAGTCATATAATGGACACTGAAGACTCAGAAGGGGAGAGGGTTGGAGTGGGGTGATAGATGAAAAACTACCTATTGGTGTTCAGTGTACACTACTCAGGTGATGTGTACACTAATATCCTAGACTTCACCAATATACAATTCATCCACGTTGCCAAAAACCACTTGCAGCCCTAAAGCTATTGAAATAAATACATCATACATATACAAATTTTTTAAAGCTACAGCTTTACTATGAAGGAAGAAGGAAGCCAAAGAAAGGAAAGCTCCAATACCTGTGATTAAAGCCTACCCTAATCCTTGGCTGATCTCTGAACTGTGAATGTGCAGGGGAGATGATGAGGTTCATAGAGAATCAGTAACCTAAGTAAGTGAATGAACTACACTGTTGCAAGGTGATATATTTTTGGAAAATTCTCAATAGAGGAATTAAAGTGCAAAGCTAAAAAACATTTGTTAGCTCAAAAGAAAACAGAAAAGAATTAACAAGAAAAAAAATGACACAAATGAAAACAAACAGAAATGGCAGAAATAAAACCAAACATCAATAATTACATTAAATATAAATGAGCTAAACACACTAATTAAAGAGCAGAAACTGTTGACTAGATATAAAAGCAGGACCCAACTAGATGCTAACAAAAGTAGAAACACTTTAAAGACATGTAAGTTGAGGGTAAAAAACTATAAATAAATATACTATAATAAGCAGTAAGCATAAAAATGCTAGAGTGGTTATATTACAATCATAGGTGATTGTAAATATGTATTGCTGTCAAAGACATTTCTTAATGATGTAAAAGTTAATATGCCACACAGATATTAACATTAAATGTATAGCTTTAAGTGCTTCAAATGGAAAAGGCAGGCTTAAAAATATTGTTTCCTCTTTAAAAAGCTAAAAATAAGTACAAGCAAACTGAGCTCAAGAAAACAGAAGGGTGGAAATAATAAAAAGTAGAAATTAATGAAAAAGAAATAAACGATAAAACCAACAATGCCAAGAACTGATTTGAAAACATAAATAAAATTGAAAAGCTCCTAGGCAAGACTGATTAAGAGAGGAAAAAAAAAAAAACAAAACCACAAATTACCAAGATCATAACTGAAAGGGGATAACACTACAGATCTTACAGACATTAAAAAGATAATAAATAAATAAATAAATAAATAAAAATAAAAAGATAATAAAAGAATATCGTGAACAACTCTAACCCAATAAATTTGACAACTTACTTTGAAAGTAATAAATTCTCTGAAATGTACAACTTACCCAGTAACACAGATGAAGAAATCTGAATAGCACTATATCTGAATTAAATCTATTATGAAAAACCATCTCACAAAGAGAACTCTAGGACTAGAGGTTTTACTGGTGAATTCTAACAAATGTTTAAGGAAAAAAATAATTCCAATCTTAAATAAAACCTTTCAGAAAATAGAAAAGGAGGAAATACTTCCTAACTCATTTTTTGAAGCCAGAAAAATTCTGATTCTAAAACCTGACAAAGGCATAACAGGAAAAGAAAATTGTCCTCTTGAATATCGATATGAAAACCCTCAACAAAATGGTAGGAAATTATGGAGAAGGGAGCACAGTAGAATGCCAACCAGAATCATCAATAGACAGCAACGCTACTGGGTGAGGGTCTGACAGAGAAGAGCATACTTAGTCTCAAGGTAACTCTCCTCATTACTTCTAGAGGGAAAAAAGAACACATCGGAGAAATTTGGCAGATCCTATGTCTATCTATTAAGTCATCAAAGTTAACATCACCAATATTAGGACAAGATGAAGTCTTGTGCCTCCTGCCATGACACACTGGAATACATCACCGCTGTGATAATTCTGCCAGAAAGACAGAGTCTTAATCCAATCACAGGGAAACACCAGGCAAAGCCAAACAGGAAGACACTATGCAAAAAAATGTGGCCAGTACTCTTGAACATGTAAGTGCTACAAAATTCAAAGACAGACTCAGGAACTGTTCCAGATTAATGGAAACCAAAGGGACATGACAGCTCAGTGCAGCAAGTGACCCTGGACAAATGATAATGTTTACATATGAACTGTGGCTACATCAGCATTGTATCGGTGTTAATTTTCCTATTTTGATCATTGTACTATGGCTATATAAGAGAATTTCCTTGCTTTTAGGATACATACATTCAAGTATTTAGATATATGCCACTGTTTGTCCTTAATACAATAAAAAATTAAATTAAAAACATGAAGTATTTAGATGTAAAGAGGGACAATGCCTCCAACTGAGTCTCAAATGTCTCAGAAAGGAATAAATACAGTAAATATGCATCTGTCTGTGTGTGTGGAGAGAGAGGAAGAGATGGAGGAGGAGAGGGAGAAAAAAGTATGATAAAACAAATGGAGCTAAACATAAATTACTAAAGATGCCAGAGAGAGGTACATGGAAATTCATATTACTACTCTTGCAACTTTCTTGCAAGTTTGAAATTGAAACAAAATGAAAAGTGGCCAAAAACAAAACTAGAAGAACTCTTCCATTCCCCCAACAAAGTAAAAAGAAAGAGAGGAAAGAACAAAAGAAGGGTGGAAGGAAAAGAGAAGGGAGGGAGGAAGAGAAGAGGGTGAGGCAGGGGAGAGAAGGGTAGAAATGGGGAGAAAAGAAAGGAAGGGATGGAAGGAAGGAAGGAATGGAGAAGTGCAGGGACGGGGGTAAGAAGGACTTCCTGTCTCTGAAGCCTGTTCTTCTCACTATATACACAGCACTGCCAAGTTAAGAGTAGAAAAAAGGTCCTGGGGTAGTAATCCACCCATCACTCTATTTGGAATTTGCACACAAGGTGAGGGGAAAGAAAAGCAAAGGGGGCAGGGCGAAGGGGAAACTAGCCCATAACACAAATAAGGAAAAAGTTTGTGTCCTCAGAACATAGAGGACACATGTTTCTGATGTGATGCTTAGCGGAGTTGCACAAAGTGACAGCCACAATAAATGAGGATGTGAGGCTTCTTTATCCAGGGTGACAGGCAACTAAAGCCCTCCTAGTATCTCCATCCACCCCTCTCCATCTGCCACACCCACACGACCTTATTACTATACAGTATAAAATAAAGCCAGAATCATTAAGTGTCAGCACACCAAGTGACAAGAAATGATATTCCCGTGGCCCTGGGAACCACTTGTATGGAATGACGATCTTCACTTAGTTGCTTGGAGCCAACTATTCTTTATAGCACATAACTACAACATTCTTCTTAAATAAATGTACAAATTAAAATGAGCTTAAAAATAGAAATGATGACAAAAAATGAGGAAGCCTTAATGTGAAAACGTGTTGAGAGAGAAAAACAGGCTTCTGACAATGAGTTATAATCTCGGAATGCTAATGGTGTCCCTGCAAGCAAGAGGAATTATAATTGGTCTCCAGTGGCCTGTTTATCCTGTCTAGATATAATTACAAGATACAGCTCTTGCAGTTTTTACCGATTCATTCATCCAACAACTAACATTTATTTAGTACTGACTCTGGGCCTGGCACTGTGCTGGCTGCCAATGGTGCAAAGATACCGCAGCCTGGTGTTTTAGAAGCTCACCATCTTGAGGGAGACATAAACAAACAAAACTTCACAACACAACTGCTAAGTGACAGAAGACAGACAGAGTAAACTCTTCTGACTGTATCAAGGACAGAGTCACTAACATCGCACAAGAGTTTCTAGAAAGACTTCACAAAGGAAAATGCACATACATTTTCCTTCCCAGGATTCCATATACCCATGTCCCAAGACGTAAGCTGTCCTGCATAACTCAATTTAAAATGCCCAGGACACATGCAGTTGGTTATCTTTGATTTTCCCAATCATACATGCACTAGAGTTGTTAGCATCAGAATCAACTAACTGTAAGTTCTAATGAGAGTGAAAAGTCAAATGAACAGATGTATTTTGTCCATGAAGAGGTACAGTCTCTTTGGGAAGGGAGGTACTTCCTTCAAAATAGCACTGCTCTGAGTAGGCGTGTGTTTATGTACAGTACAGATGTAGCAATATTCACACCATCTGGCTGCAAAGAGAGCCCCAAAACACAGAGGACATCCGACCAGCCCAATTTGCTTCTTTCCTCATCTATCACCCTTTTAGCCGACAGCTCCCCAAATCAACTCCTATTAGATACACACTGGCACTTGCAATGTTTGGGGAATCACCTACAGACCAGCTAAATCAAAACCCTGCCTTCCTAGGGGAGCTCTACAAAGTACACAGGTGGCCTTCTCTTCTTTGGATGACACCTACGCTGTAATTTACTCCACCCACATCATCATTTGCTAGCTAAAAAGAAGAGACTGTGTTCCGCAGCTGTCTGGCACTCAAGGGTCAAGTCCCCCCACAAGGCCCCTTGGCCTCCAGGGTCTGGGGAAATAACTGGAGCAAAGCACACATGGGCCCAACAAGACATCCCACATTCACTCCCATGAGATATTTATGGGAAGAGAAGCAGAGGTCCTGCAGGAACACTGGGAAGAAACAGTCAAGCACTCAGCCTGGGCCACGGTGGGTGGGAGGCTCAAGACCACTTCTGTTATTACAGCCATAGTTCAAATAGTATCCATTCAAGTAATGACACCAGCAACTCACTTGGAATGAAAAATACAATTTCTGTGAACTAACTTGGTCTGCAAGTGATTTGTGGAGATAGCTTTTTGAAGGCTTGTTATATTTTCCAAATATTTCTACCAAAAAAATGAAGAAGAAAAAGAAGATTGCTAACAAGAATGGAGTATTTGGAAAGAAAACAAAATAAAAATCATGCAAAAATGCCATTAGCATTATTTTTCATGGTATTATCAGTCTTTAGGGATAAGATATTTGGTTGTCAGTCGTAACCTTGGAAACTCGCCTAACCGACTTCCAAATGAAAAAGAAGATCTAGTTGGCAAAGTTCACTGCTCAACTGCCAAATACCCCAACTAAATGATATTATCCAGGTTCATTTTGCAAAATAAATTTAATTTCTTATAGAGAAACTTGAAATTTATAAAAGAACCCTGGAGAATTTGAATCTTAATAATCAATTATTCTTCAGCCTGATTCATCTCATAAACATATGGAATATGCAAAAAATTAAATTAGTTTCAAAAGCCAGACCTTTAACGCATAGTTGAAGAAAACTTTTACATAAATGAAGAATAATTGCCAAATGTTCTGATGCTGTAATATAATTTTTTAGCTCCATGGCGTATAATGTCTCTGCACTTTAAAAAAGAAAATAATTCCTTTCTCTAACGTCACTGTTTCCCAAACAAGAAAACAACTATCGTCTATGTATTTTATTATACTCATAATGAGTGCTTATGAGTTGTTACATCCTTTATGGACAAAAATTTCCCAAAATGCTGTAATCATCCTGGAGCTATCTACTTCTATAAGGCAAACAGAAAGGGTCATGCCATACAGCATCATTTGCATGGGTCAGTGGAGGAGCAACAGCCAGATAAAACAAGATGGCCCATGGTGACCTCCCCTTGAGCCACAAAGGAAAAGGTGTGAGGACAAATGAAGACATCTGGACCTGAGGCAGGAAAAGCCAGCACTGGCTCATCAACCGTTGGTTTGTGAACAAGGGCTCCAGAAGCGAGTAGAAAGTCCCCAGTGTATAATAATTTAACAATGGGCACAGAATCTTGCAAACCCAAGGATACCACACTATTAACTAGAAGACACTGAGCATTTATGCCATTCCTTTCCCTGCACATCTCTGACTGACAGAAGCACAAATACTTTAACACAGCATCTCCCAAACACCTGTAAAGGTTTGCCCACATCTGCATTCTTCACAGTGACTCTTCTTTTTTTTTTTTCTTTTCAAATGATGGGGTTTCACCATGATGGCCAGGCTGGTCTTGAACTCCTGACCTCAGGTGATCCACCCACCTTGGCCTCCCAAAGTGCTAGGATTACAGGCGTGAGCCACCCTGCCCAGCTAATTTTTGTATTATTAGTAGACACGAGGTTTGACCATGTTGGCCAGGCTGGTCTTGAACTCCTGACCTCAGGTGATCCGCCTGTCTCAGCCTCCCAAAGTACTGGGCTTACAGGCATGAGGCACTGCACTCAGCCTCCACAGTGACTCTTCTTAACCTGCTTACATACCATCTTAGTCTTCTCCTAATCCACAGACATACAAGTCTACTAAATTTTCTTCTTAATTGTCTAAGTACTATCTGAAATTATCTCACATACCATACTAGGGTTCCTACTTTGAGAAAGAAAGCCCATGGTCCAGGTTCAAGGATTTCCCTATAAATCTCAGCATCTTGTCCAACAGAAATCTAAGCCAGCTACTGCTGCTAAGCCCACATCACTCTGATTTCTCAAGCCTTTTCTTCTTTAAACAATTGGTGCTATAAGGATGCTCACTTCCAAAACATGCTCAGAGCTGAACTGTGAGCTTTCTCCAACCTAGGTCGAGTAACTGGCTACCCTGTTCATGAGAACAGTGCTGACCAAAATCAAACACCTGTAACACTTCAAGTCAGGTATAAGTGAACTTATGGGACAGTGCCCACAGGTGCTGGGCAGTCATTCCCTGGACACACTTACGCTCACGGCTTCTGCTTTATATTCATCATCACTGTCCAGGGCAGAGAGCTGCAGCAAAATGGGACATACTGTGTTTTCAATATCATACTGGAAAATAAGGTCTTGTTCCAGAAGAATCAAGAGTACTTCCTGCGTTGATTTTCTAACCTAGAAGAGAAAAAACAGCAGACGATGAAGCACAAGTGAGCAGAAGTGCCCTCAGGATCAAGACCAACCCCACTGAGCAGGCGTGGGGACCAGCCGGCCCCTGCCTACCTCCCCAGCTAAACACATTGAAGGGCACTGGATATTCCTGCCTTCTGTTGCCCCTCCTGCCTGAGGCCTTTGAGTAGGCCACTCCCTCTACCTGACTGGCTACCATTCCTCTGCTCCAGCCCAAAGCCCCTCTGCTCCTGGACCCTGTTTGAGCAGGTCCCCAAACAATACTTGACTAGTGCCCTGGACTTTTTCCTCCACAGCTCTTGCTCCAGATTTCTGCATTTACATACATACAAATATATAGAGGCTTTTTTTTCTGCGTGATTTCATAATTGCCACCTGTCTCTCCTGTTGCAGAGAGTGAACTCAGACGGCAAGTACAACATCTGATTTGTCCTTTGTCCTCCAGTGCACCCTCAGGACCTTATAGCCTGTGGCACAAAATTTTGCATTCTGTAAGGATCTGTTGAATGAATGGATGACTTCTCGCCTTTTCTCCTTTGTAGGCAAAGAGACAGGAAAACACTGCAGCATCTTCTGCGACTTTGTAAACCCTGGCATGCCACACACAAGATTGGAATTATGTCTGGTACAACAGAACACACAGGGAAGGAGCCCAAGCAAGAGCCACGGACAAAGGGGGACGCTCCCACAGAAAACAAATGCTTCCCAGTCCACAGAAGAAGAAGGCTGAGGAGCTCTTGTTCTTTGCAGTCTCATGGGAATGAGCAAGCACTGGAACTCAGAGGGGTCCAAAGAAGCTTAAGAGACGTTTTTGGGGAAATGAAAACACATAAAATTCCAATTTATAGATAAAATAATGAAATATGCAATTCACCACAGCGATTAAAAGGCAGAAAAATAATAATGGGAGCCAGAAGTGTATATATGAGTCACAGATGATCAGTCAACAGCAGGTTATCAAAGATTATAAAAGACTCAAGCCACAGAGGCAATATGACATTAACACTTCTGACCAGGCGACAGATGAAAACAGTATTTCAGAAAGATCACCCTGGCAGTAGCGTTTTGAGTCAACTGGAGACAGAGGGGAGGAGCTCAGGAGCACTGAAGAAATCTGGCTTCGTTATCAAACAGCATGTGCAGCTAATTCAGTTCTACAAGTCTTTACTGAAAAAAAAAACTACCAGGTGCCAGATCCTGTGCTAGGTCACCAAAGCCGATAAAATACAATCCTGGGCTCTCACTCAAGAAGGCAAGAGGCACTTCAGCTTACAACATTTAGAAAAGCCTCCAGTCCCACAGCACACAGCAGACAGCCTCATGAAACCAGACATCCAGCCTCCTGCCTTCTCCAGCCCAGCTACTGCTCAGCACCCACAACCATACCTCTCTGCTTAACTAGCAATTCACCCATACTTCACAGGGGGGTGAAGCAGAGGAAAGGAGATAAGCCAAACTGGTCCTGAAGCACAGCCCTAGAGCACAGAGACAACTCAAGAAAGGGGAGCTGTATCGCTGGCAGCAGTCCTGGCAATAGCATCGATATTGCCCCCAACGCTGTCATTTCATACCTCACATGTTCAGTGACCATGAAAAGTACTTGCTGATAAACAGAGAAGGGCCAGCTGGCCTACTGAGGCAGATGCTGGCTGGGACCTAGCACACCCATCCCATCCCCACATGCACAAGAATCTTCGTCTTTGCTGAATTAAGAATCCTAATTAGGGACCTTTAGGTGTTCTCAGGGGCCCCCACTGTGGATGTCCAAGAATCCACATCTGTAAAAGGAAGACAGAGACTGACAGAAGAGAGGAGGGGGCATTTGGGAAGGGCAAGATGGTCAGAATCATAAGAACAGAAGGGACAGGCAGATGCCAGCAGAGTCAAAGGCAGAAAGGGACAGGTGCCAGGGAAGAAGTCTAGGCTGTGCCTCAGAGAACCAGAATTCAGTGAGAAAGAATTTCTGCACTTTTCTGTTTACAAATGGTGGGAATGAATAGGAGTGATGCCCTCAAGGGGTTAGGTTCTTTTGATGGAAACAAAGGAGACACGGCTGGCTCTAACTGGATGGAGGAGGTGAGGGGAAAGGACTTGTCAGTTCCTGGGTGGCGGCTCTGGGGAGTGTGTGAAGTAGGTGGTGGTTCCCTGCATGGAGAAGGGGATGAAGATTGAAGGTCTCTATTTTGCGATGTAAAAGGCAAGGTCACCTGCTTGGCGCAAGGAAGGGAGAGGGGAGGAGGCCTGATGAAAGTGGCAAAGGTCTAAGAGAACTGCCAAGGATAATGGGAAATGCAGCTGATGAGGGACAAGGGGAAGGACTGCCAAGCAACGCTGCAAGCCCAGCCGCGACTGGGACCCATAAATTTGCAACGGCACCAATCAATGCATGACAGGACTCCCTCTGCCAAGCTCGGCTACCAGCAGTGGAGGAAGCCGAGGGGCTGGGGAGGACAGGCAGAGTCAGTGTGGCAGAAGCAGTATCAAAAGGACAAGTAAATAGAGGGTGATGGCATGGACAGACTTGAAAGGGTGGAACGAGAGAGGGAGCCGCTGAGGAACAACAGGAAGTAAATGCAGGCAGGCAATAGTGGCTGCAGAGCCAGCGGCTGCTGGGGCAGGAAGGCCCAGGGTGGGGGAGCAAAGAAAGGAGGGCAAGCTGTGGTTGGAGTGGAAGTGCGCGCACAGAGGTGCGGCAGATCTGGAAGCACTGGGAGGCGGGCAGCAACTCAGGTGCGGGGGAGGCTGGGTGCAGATGCAGCTTGGGCTGATCATGGGCATGCCTGCTGAGGACATGAATAAGACTCTTCAGCAAACACAGAATGGGTGTCAGGCACCACGCTAGATCCTGGGGTCAAAACCAGCTTCCTGCCTCTGCCGTTCTGGAAGAGAAGATACGGCAGTGCTATTGGACAAAGGTCAAGAAATGTCAAACCTCCTGACCCAGTGTACTCTCATTTTCAAGATGAATCCAAAGGAAGAGTCAATAAAAGAACAAAACCACATCCCTTCCAACGCTCAGTGCATCTACAATACACACACACACACAACCTGAATGAAATATAAGTATTCAACAAAATTAAAAATATGACGATGATGAGGAAATAGTGTTTTACCGCGTCTAATATGCGGCTTTCTGAGAGCAGAAAATCCGTACTGCTCAGCTCCCTATCCCCAGGCATGAAGCATTGTGCTTGGCTCATAATGGGCACTAAGAAACTGTCTGAATAAATGAATGAATGGAGAAATTGTATCACGTTATGATTAGACCTATGTGGAAAAGAACGCTGGCACCTAGAGAGGAAAATGCGAAAGTAATCAAAATACCAACTGTTAGAACGGCAGAAACAGGACTCTTTTCCTTATTTGAAAATTCCACTTAATGCTGTCACACTGCTTACCAGTTAAAAATGGGTACTTGCTCCTTTAAAAATGCTTGGATCAAGGGAGAAATAAATTTTAGAATCTCTTGAAAATAATGATAGTGAAAACATGGTATATCATTAAAAATAAAATAAATTGACCCTTTGTGGAAAGCCATCCCCAAATACGCTAGCCCAAATAGAAATGATGCAAGTCTATTCACTGCAGCCATTTTAAAGTGCCAAAAGTCTGGAAATCGCCCAAATGTCCATCAGTAAGCTCTGCTCTGTTCCCCCAGTCGGGTACTGCACTGCAAGGAAAGGAGTGAGGACGCTGCAGATGTTGGTGCCTACTCTCGGGGTACTCAGAGCACACGGGACAGGGAAGCAGGAAGAGGGAGCTCCCCGCACCAGAGAAAGGGGCACGGCCGTGCAGAACACAAGGAATCATCTCAGTTGTTTACGTGTGTGCGCATGTGTTTCAGGAATGAAGCAAAAACTAAAAGAAACAGTTACCTACAGGGGAGGGAGAAGAAGTGGGGACCAGGGATAGAAGTCAGACTTCTGTGAACGTGCTTTGTTTTACAGTTTTGACTTTGCAATCAAGTAAACATTTTAAATAATTATAAATCAAAATGTACAAGCTAAAGCAATTCCTAAAAATAAAAAAAAAACAAATGAGAATAACTATATATCAGGTTGGTGGCTTAACCACAAAGAGAAGGATTAATGCAAGTGACTTTAAAACACAGTAACACGAATATGACTGGGCACTTCTAGAAGGACGTGGCCTAAAAACAAAGGAGCTATGAAAAAGTCTTAAGCTATGTTCAGTAACCCCATCATGTTGTAATACTAGGATTTTTATTTTGGATACACAGACATATACATGTATGCTAATGACATCAAGGAGCAGGATTTAGATCACACAAGTGAAAAAAGATACAACTATAAAATCAAAGAAGTGAAACCCCTATAATGCTAAATTTGAGTTGGAAATGTCAAGATAAACTTGAAGAATTTTTATCTTTTAAAAAATTGTTCTGTCACTAGAAGCAACGAGTGAGCGCCCCCCAGTACCCACATTCCGAGTTTTCTTATTATTTACCTCATAAAGGAACCTGGGTTCTTGGAGAAATGGTTGATCCCAGGGAGAGATGCAATATCACAGTGTACTGGGTCATGTTTAAAAAGATTCTGTAAATAACCTGAAGGGGTACAACTGGTCAAAGCCGGGGCAACTTGATCATCAAAAAGAATAAGTACTACAACAGATCGAAACATACCTACTATGCACAAATGCAGGAGTCCTAACAATACTCAGAGTTTTAAGACCTAACTGGCAACCTTTGTAGATTATTAAAATGCCAACGATGATTCTGGAAACTAGTAAATAAAGGGATAAAATAAAGCATTTATTCTGTCTTTCCTACCCAAACAGGTTTTCGGGGCTATAAAATAGTTGATAGAGGAAGTTTTTACAGAAGAACTCCAGCTATTAAACTAAAAAGAAATGCTGGAATTAGTATGTCAGAATTTACAGCCGCTAATGAGATACCGGATCAGGGCAGCGATCACCAGTGGTTGCTCATACAATGATGGGGAACTCTATAGAAAAGGTGGCCAAATTCAGCATTAGGAAAAGATAACCATCCAGGGCTTCTGTGCCCCCGGGATTCGATGTAGCAGGAGAACACAAACCACCTACAAAGCATTCTCCCTAAACTAGAAAATCTGAGACTAGCTGAGCTTCCAACTTAGCTACTAGTTTATAAAAAATGCCTGGAGTAGAGCAGCATCTGAACACGACAGAGATGCAATGAACCATATCCCAAATATGGGCAATTCCATAAAACTAATGACCTGGCTTCCTCAACAAATAGCAAGGGAAAAAAGTGGGGAGGGACAACATTATAAATTTTAAAAGATCTAAGAGACCTATATCACCTAGATTCAATGTGTGGACCTTGTTTGTATTCTGGTTTGAACGGCCTCTGTGCAGAAAAAAATACCTATGAGTAAACTGGGCAATTGGACCAACAACTAGACATTAGATGATGTTAGATAACTACTGACAATTTTTATATTTGCATTAATGATATTATCATTACGTTTTTAAAAAAGAGTCTATTTCATAGAGAATAATACTAAAAAGTATTCACAGCTGAAACGAGATGGTGTCTGCAAATTCTTTTGTCTGGATTGGATTTTATCTGGACAAGATAAATGAAAAAAGATTGATCAAATGCTTTTTATTTATTTATTTATTTATTTTTTTTGGAGACAAGAGTCTCACTGCATCACCCAGGCCGGAGTGCAGTGACATGATCTTGGCTCACTGCAATCTCCGCATCCCAGGTTCAAACAATGCTCCTGCCTCAGCCTCCCAAGCAGCTGGGACTACAGGCACATGCCGCCATGCCCAGCTGATTTTTGTATTTTTAGTAGAGACAGGGTTTCACCATGTTGGCCAGGCTGGTCTTGAACTCCTGACCTCAGGTGATCCACCTGCTTCAGCATCCCAAAGTGCTGGGATTACAGGTGTATGCCATCGCGCCCGGCCAGGTCAAATGTTAATGACAGTTGATGCTAGGTGTCGGGCACACAGGCATTCATTTTCATATTCTCTCTACTGTTACGTGTGTGTGAAAATTTCCATAGTAAAATGTTAAAGGAAAAGAAGAAAGATTTCATGATAAGAATGAGTGCTATCTTCCTACATGACTAGAGGAACCGTACACGGGTAGATCTTTTGTTCTCAAATCACTTAACTCTAAGAAGCTGTTTTTTGAATTATGAATATCAGCTAAAACAAGACTAAAGCGCATTTGCTAAAAAGATCTTAAGGTTATAATTTTTCAAACCTGATTGTTTGGATCTGTGAGGTACCTCACCACAATAGGTATGAGATATTCGGAGAGCACCACTGGAAAATTTGATCTGTTTTCTTGTAAAAAAATGGCAATAGGAGGAATCTGTTCCATCAGCTCAGTCCGCACTGTGGGCTCTGCAGCAATAAAAAATTTAGAAAAATTAAAGAATAAGCCGAGCATCTTACATAGTATATACTGATAGTTTCTAGCTTTTCTTACTAAAATACTTCATCAAAGAAATTAGACAAATGCAGTTTAAAAATCATTTCCCATTTAGAGTATTTATGCTGCAGACAGGCTTAAAAAGCTAATGAGCTATACAGCAATATAAAAACATAAAAAGAAGAGAGAATGACAACTCTATTATAACAAGCCATATATAAATTGAGGAGGGAGCAAGAAGTCTGCATGCTGGGCCGGCGTCCAAGAGCCATTACAACCAATGGCTTATATGCCAGACCTATGGGTTGTGCTTATTGAAATTCTAGCCAGAATGTATACATTATAAATAATTTTTTCATAAATGCACTCCCCCACAATCCACGCATCCCAATTATTTCTAAGGCAAAGCATTAAACAAAAGAGCGGCTCTAGCTCCAATATACCACATTAAATTTAACACAAATATATAATTGCTACAGCACTGTAAATGGTGACTCATTTACAAAGAGAATCCATTTAAAGACGCAAAACATCCACTTGGGCCTTTTTAAAAGCATTGTATTATATTCATATGAATATTTTTAACTAATATGGGAGCTAATACGGAAGTCTTATTTTTCCATTTTCAGTTAAAATGATCAAATTCTAAAGCCTGGGAGTCCTGAAACTTTCTGAAGTTTTCATCATTCATTCTGTAGGGAGGAGGGGGCTGCAGCACAGCTCTCAGTACCAGCAGCCCCACCACTTACCCATCTAACTCATCTCTACTGGGGCAGGGGGAAGACAACATCATCGTGTCTGCAGTACAGCCACGTGCTTTTCTTCCAGAACACCAATCATGGAGAGGTAGAATGAGAAAGAAAACTCAAGATTCCCATTGAGGGAAACTAATGACTCAGATTTTCTAACCCAAGAGGCTTCTTTCGATCTGGCATTTCTTAGCAACCAGTAGTCTGGCAAAACTCAAGAAATACAAAAGGCCTAAATGCCAAGGCAAACAGTATTCACAGCCATTAATCACTCTGATTTTCTAAATGTAAGAAAATTTCAGTCAAAATTCAAATAAGACACCCATTCTTCATGACAAAATCCATTCGTGGTTAGAAATTGCTTAAAAGTTATTAATTATAACTGTTTATCAATTAATAAAGTTTTTTTAATTAGCTATTATTGGTTATATATAATTTCTTAAAAATTCATAAGTAAAAAATAAAATTATACAATACTTATACAAACCTGCATCTTCTGACAATCTGACCACGATCGCCATTACTGTTAGGAAGTCCTCCTCATTGTTACTGAAGTCCCGGAAGACATCAAGCAGCCCTCTGGCAATAATCTGCCTATGGAGACAAAAACAATACATGTGGTCATTTGGGCCATACTGACTGAGGGACCACAAGGTTCCAGGCATTGTGCTAAGAGCAGGTAAACACACCTTGACACAAGACAAACTGAGCAACCTGTGTCCAGGAGGATGGAGACTACCTGGGAATACCCAAATTCGGCCGTTCCAATGCAGGCCAGAGTCCTACAGGAAAGGAGGCCCCCATCTTGTAGTCTGGCAGTCATCAGAGCTTGAAAATGTCCGCTTGAGAATAAGGGAAAACCCTTTTCTTATTTTCTGACTGGTTCCTCAGGCCTACATGGGCTTGGAAGAAAAGCCCAAGGCAGTCAAAGGGAACTAAAGGATCAATAAATGCAGAAGAGAAAGGCCCAAAGAGGCATCTGATGGCCTCTTAGTGACTGAATGAGGAAGTGCAGACTAGAAATTCTGCAAAAATTCTTTCAGAAAGCCTTGAGAGAGTTTTTTAAAGTCAGACATTTCTCTACATTTATTATTTTTACTTTCTTACCTCCCTGTGCTGATTAACCATAAAACCTATAAAACAAGAAGGACCTATAGATGTTTATTTTGATGGGAGTAAGGAAAGGAGGCGCTGGAGAGACTGCATCCCACTATAGGCAGAACTGGTCAAGAGAACTAAGATAGAGTCAGAAGGATAGTGAAACCACCACAGTCCACCAGCCTGAGCAATGTACAGGGGAACAGTAAGTCAGCCTGAGGCTGAGGAGCAGGCCGAGACTCAACTCAGGAAAGTCCCCCTGCAAGACGGCAAGCGACAGAGGTATGATGGGCACTACGCCGTTCTATACAGAAGGAAGCTCTGGCCATGGGGGGAGACAATGTGACTGTCGTTGCAGGACCAAGTGACCATGTCCCATCATAAGCATGATCTGAGCCAGAGCTACAGAAGGCCTACTGAGAAGAAACGTCAAAATCTCTCTAACAGCTAATTCCATCAATATACTGATCAATGAAGCAGGGAAGGGGTGGGGGACACCCTAAGGTGTGGGGCCTTCCATAAGAGTGGATCCACATGCCCAGGAGGCCACTGTGAACTGTGGCTAGCTCTAGACCACCCAAAGACAGGAAATTAAAAATGAATAAAAAATTCTTTTAGACATCCAAAAACTCTATCACCAGCAGATTGAACTATAAGAAATGATAAAGAAAGCCCTTCAGGCAGAAAGAAAATGACACCAGATGGAAATCTGAATATACAGAAAGGAATAAAGAGCACCAGAAGTGATAACTACATAAATATATATATATATATATATATATATATATATATATAAAACTTTTATTATTTAAATCTCTTTAAGAAATAATCGACTAAGTTAAAAATAGTATTTTATTACTGTGGATTTATAACACATATATAATAAAATACACGACAAAAATAACATAAAGACCAGGAGAGGAGAAACAAAGGCACACTATGACAAGGTCTTTATACTATACATGAAGTGGTAAAATACCACTGGAAGGTAGACCATGGTAAGTTAAATATACATACCATAAATGCTAAGGCAACCACTAAAACAAAAAAAATGAATTATAACTAATAAACTATTTAAAAATCAAACTAAAATCACAAAAAAGTTCAATTAACTCAAGAGAAAGCAGATAAAGAACAAAAAGGAAACAAAACAGATGTGACAAACAGAAAACAAACAGCAAGATGATATGCTTAAGCCTAACTACGTCAATAATTACATTAAATGTAAATGGTCTAAACATTCCAATTAGAAAAAGATTAATAAAATGGATAAAAAACAAGACCCAGCTACGTATTAATTATAAGAAACACACTTTAAATAAACAGATGCAAATAAATAATTTAAAAATATATTATGATAACAATAGTCCAAAGAAAGCTGGAGTATGCTAACATCAGACAAAACAGATTTTGGACAAAAGAATATCACCAAGGAAAAAAAGGTCATTTCATAATGATAAAGGGGTAAACTCATGAAGAAGACATAATTATCTCAAATGTATATATGCCCAATAAGAGAGCTTCAAAATACATGCAGCAAAAAACAATACAACTGCAAGGAGAAATAGAGAAAAGTCAATGTCAAAGTCCAGAAACAAACCCACACACATATGAAGTGATTTTTTTTTTTAAAGATGAACGGCGGAAGTCTTCAAAAAGTGGTGCTAGAAAAAATAGTCATATTGGGGGAGAAAAAAAGAACATTGACTCATTTTACACCATACACCAAAATTCATTCAAAAGACCATATATCTAATGTAAGAACGAAAACATAAAATTCCTTGAAAAGAAAAAAAAATCTTTCTGACCTTAGGTTAGACAAAGATTTCTCAGGAGCCAAAGAACATAAACCATAAAAGAAAAAAACTGATAAATTTGACTTCATCAAAATTTAAAACTTTGCTCCCTAAATCACACCACTGAGAAAATAAAAATGATGAGCCACAGAATGGAGAAAATATCTGATGAAAACTGGTATCCAGAATATATAAATAATCCTTATACTCTCATAACTCAATAATAAGCAGACAAACATCCCAATTAAAATAATATGTATTCATAAATGATCCCAACACATTATTAATACTAATAACCGAAAGGTGGAAACAACCTAAATATCAACTGATGAATGAATAATCAAAATACTATGTATCCATTCAATGGAACATTATTTAAAGGAATGAGGTACTGATGCATACTACAATATAGTGTAGCTTTTTTTTTTTTTGAAACACAGGGTCTCACTCTGTCACTCAGGCTAGAATGCAAGTGACACAATCATAGCTCACTGCAGCCTTGAACTCCTGGGCTCAAGCAAACCATGGGTGAATACTGAAAACGGCATGCTAAGTGAAAGAAGTCAGTCACAAAAGATGACATATTATCTGATTACATTTCTATAAAATGCCTGGACTAGGCAAATCAGTGGAGACACAAAGTGGATGAGTGGTTGCCTAGCAGTGGCAGATTGGAGAGGAATGGGTAGTGGTTGCTAATGGGAACCAGATTTCTTATTGAGGTGATAAAAATGTTTTAAAATTCATTGTGGCAATGTTGCACAACTCTGTAAATATACTAAAAACCATCAACTTATACACTTTAAAACAGTGAAATATATGACCCTACGCAAACTAAATCTCAATAAAGTTGTTTTATTCTTTTAAAAAGCAAAAGATTTTAACAACCTCACAAAAGAAAATGTACAAACAGCCAAGAAATACAAGAAAAAATTCTCAACATCACAAGTCTTCAGAAAACTACAAATTGACCAAGCACGATGGCTAACACCTGTGACCCCAGCACTTTGTGAGGCCAAGGCAGGCAGATTGCTTGAATCCATGAGTTTGAGACCAACCTAAGCAACATGTTGAAACCCAGTCTCTATAAAAAATGCAAAACTTAGCAAGGCATGGTGGCATGCACCTGCAGTCCCAGCTACTCAGGAGGCTGAGGTGGGAGGATCACTTGAACCCAGGAGGTAGAGGTTGCAGGGAGCTGAAATCGCACCACTGCACTCCAACCTGGGTGACAAAGCAAGGCCCTGTCACAAAAAAAAAAAAAAATGTCAAGATCATGAAAGACAAGGATAGAACGTTCCATCACAGATGGGAGGGCCTAAGGAGACAGGCAACTGTAAATGTAATGTAGCACATGGGATCCCGGAGCAGAAAAAGAACATTAATGAGAAAATGTAGACTCCAAGTGAAATCTGCAAGTTATTTAACAGTGTACCAATGCCAATGTTACTTTCTTAGTTATGATAAATGTGTCATGCTTATTTAAGCTGTAAACATTAGAGCAGTTTCCTGACCTCGGCGCTACCGATAGTTTGGAGTGGATAAGTCTTTGTTGGGGGCAAGGGGCTGCCTGGTGCATTGCAGGATGTTTAGTAGCATCCCTGGCCTCTACCCACAGAAGTCAGTAGCACCCCCGGTGCCCCAAGATGTGACAACCAAAAATATATCTAGACACTGTCTAAGATCCTTTGGAGGCAAAATTACCCATAATTGAAAGCCACTGCATTAGAAGTTGGGCAAAAGGTATAGGGGAACTAACTCTCAGTACTATCTCTGCAACACTTCTGTAAACCTAAAATTTTTTCAAAATAAAAAACGTAAAGACAAAATAAAACACAAGGCCAAAAATGCAAAAGCTACAATGAGGTAACACTACAACTACAGGAAGAACTAAAATTATCATAACAATACCAAGTGCTGACAAAGAGATGAAATAGGAATCCACAGACATTTGTAGAAGTGCGAAATAGTACAGGCAATTTGGAAAACAGTGTGGCAATTCCTCTGAAAGTTAAAACATACACTGACCAGTCAACCCAGCAATTTCACTCTTAGGCATTTGCCCATAAGAGATGAAAACCTATGTCCACACAAAGTGGAATGAAAATGTTCATACAGGCATTCATTCACAACAGCCATGAAGTGGAAAACTCCCAGTGTTCTCTGAACTGGTGAATGCAATACAAAACACAGGATATCTGTGCATACTCAGCAATAAAAAGGAATTAGCTATTGATAACAACAGGGATGAATTTCTAATGCATTTTGCTAGGGAACAGAAGCCAGACATATAAGATTATATCCCATAGGACTGAATTTATAGGAAATTCTAGAAAAGGCAAAATATTTTGCAAACATCAGAAACAAGGTCAATGGTTGCCTGGGCCCATGGTGGTCAGGGAGGGAGGGACCGCCAGACAGCAAAAGCGCAAATAAGGGAACTTGTCAGGTGATTGAAACTTTTGAACTCCACTGTGACAATGGTTGGATGACTGTATACATTTACAAAATTCATCCAAGTGAACGATTAAAGTGGGTGAAGCTTATCGTATGCAAAATATGCCTCAATAAAAGTTCTTTAAACAAAGACACTGAGAAGGGAAAAAGTCAGGGCCAACAGCAGTGCCCTGGGGTGATCTGGTGGCCTCTGTGTCCAAGTAGAAGAACTGGAGCTACTGAGGGCTTTCTCTGATCAAGTAG